GGGAGGGCAGACTTCACCTTCCCCCTTGCTTAAAGAATTCAAAATAATCTGTCATGAATCTCCGGTCTTCAACTGGGAACAGTGGGATAGGTAACGGAAGAGTGGCTAGGATTCAGCACACTCCTTAGCTTTTACTGTTTGACTAATCTGGAGTGAATAACTCCCCCAATACATGCCCTCATGTCTGCATCTATAAAACAGATGTAACTACAATGTCTTTCCATCTGTGAGGTTTTTTTCCCCCCTAAGATCAGTTTCATCCTCATGGTCCCGGATACAAAACCAAATGAGCAAGATAGTTCTAAGAAGGTTCAGGACCTGAGGCAGCATCCCCCAGTATCATCTCTTTCTAGTTGCACTTCTCATATGCATATGTAAATGGCCGTTAAAAAATAAATCCCAGTAGCCAAAAGATCCAGCTGCAAACTCCCATGGACTGCAAGGACTTGGTGTGCAATGGCCTTCAACATCTTCTAACGACCGCTGACTGGAACTTCAGGACGTGACTCAATTATGCAATGCTGATGAGCTGGCAGACTAAAGGGATACTTAAAAAAAAATCTTTGGTAGGCCAAGCCCTGAATCTGAGGTCTTTCTCTCTGGCAGCAGCAAACGGTTTCTCTAACACCTAAAGAAGAATGCAAGCATCTGTAGGCAGTCACCACGCAGCTTCAGATGTCAGCGTTACAGAAGGAACCCAGACCTGGATCCAGGGTCTGTGTGCGTTCTTGCCAGGAAATGTTTCTCAGCTACTTTGTTTTAACACCTTCGCCCCTGAATTCTCTGTAACCACAGCTCAGGAGGTAAAATACACCTATTCATGCCTCTGTGCATCTGCATGTGTTTGTAATTCTGGATTGGTATGTGAAAACACCCTTTGCTATTTATCTTCAGGTTGAGTGATTGGGCCATCTTACTGGATTGACTTCTCAACACTAAGCCGTTAGGAGACACACACAGAGACATATGTACATAATGTATACAAGCACACACACACACACACACACACACACACACATATAAATATACAGTCCCCACCCTGTCTCTTGGTACAGAAAACCCTCAACATACTTCTCAGGAGACCTGAGGCTTCTTGATCAATAGTTGGCTGGTGGTCTGCCAACTCCCTGGCAATGTAAACACCAACCTGGAAGTCTTCAGACACATTTGAGGTATTCTCTGCCTTTTCCTTAGTGTCATGAACATGACAGGGAAAGACAGTGAAGAGTTTCCTCCATCTTGTATTCTGACTGCAGCCATTTCAGGTTTAACTAAAATTTGATCTCCCTGATGGAGAATTCCATGGAAAACCACCCAACTCTACCCTAGGAACCTGAGGACAAGATACCCTAAATAACTTATCTTCTGTTAAACTACCTGCTTGTGCAGAACTCCCTACAGCTAACTGCTTATCTTAGTTTCTGTTAAACTGCTAGCTTGCATAAAACCTCCCCCTGCATCTGCCAAGTGAACTACCAGGATTTGGTTTTTGCCTTTGAAAACCCCTTAGCCTAAACACTTGGGCCTACTGTTGGGCCCTAAATACCTAACTGTAGTCACAGCTAGCTGGAATAAAAACTTTCACTTGGCTGTCAACTGTAGCTGATTCATCATCTCTGGTGAGCAACCCACAATAATAAATATGAGAAGGAAGGAAATATCATTTGAAAATTATACCTAATACAAGGGCAACAACCGAGAATATATTGCTTATTTGGAGTCTCCTCCTATAAAACAGAATTTTCTTTGAATCTCCAACTTTGTGCCAAGATAAAAATTTGCAAACCTACCCAAATGGTTACAATGCTACCATAATATCGTATATTTAATTGACATTAACAGTGCTACAGAGCACAGGCCTGCTGCTTTGCGGCATGTGCCTACATTTGGACTTGTCTTACTATCTCTTCAGAATTGTGGTTTGTTTGGTTTTTTTTTGTTTTTTTGTTTTTTTTTGTTATTGTTGTGGCCCTGGCTGTCCTGGAACTCACTCTGTAGACCAGGCTGGCCTCAAACTCACAGAGATCCATCTGCCTCTGCCTCCCAAGTGCTAGGCTTAAAGGTGTGCACCACCACTGCCTGGTAGAATTGTGATTTTTAATGTAAAACTATGCCAACTGGTGGCCATTATTGGTATGCGTGATCATAGCTAATTAGCATTTAAAGCCATACTATCTTAGCATAAATACTAAACACTTACAGGCCTTTCATTTCAAGTTGTTACATCATCTTACTCTCCAGAGTATATTTAAACGAAGTTGATACTTATCTTTCTCATGCAGTAATCTATTTTCTCCATATTCTGTAAAGAAAGATATTAAGAGACTACACACGCTCCAGTGTTCACACAGGTGGTTTTATGTTAGATCTTGATAAATGAGCAGGATTTTGTCAAAAAGAGTGGAAACACTGACAATTCCTTAACCACTGGGGCAGTAAGTGTGCTTAGGAAGCATTTTCTTTTCTTTCTTTCCTTTTTTTTTTTTTGCTTTTTGAGACAGGGTTTCTCAATGTTGCCTTGGCTGTCCTGGAACTTGCTCTGTAGACCAGGCTGGCGTCGAACTCACAGAGATCTGCCTGCCTCCGCCTCCCCAGTGCTGGGAGTAAAGGTATGTGCTACTACAGCCCAGGAGGAAAGCATTTTCTAAATGCTCAACTACCAAAGTAGTTTACTTAATACTTGATATTAACATATTAAATATGGTCAGAAGATAGCAATTTAGTAAGAAAGATGTAAGTGACAAAGAATGAAAACAATCAGGGAAATGTCAGCTAGAAAAGATCCAGAACATGGGAAAAAAGAGAATGAGAAAGAAGTCATCTATACAAGCAGGAAAACAGCTGAAGACCCCTTGCTTATATCAAACTGTCTGATATGGAAAGAATAGTATCTATGGTAAATAATAGCAAAATGGGGGGGCGGGAGGGGGGAGGACAGGGAATCCATGGCTGATACATAAAATTAAAAAAATAATAATAGCAAAATAAGCCTGGGGAGCTGGGCCAAAGGGTCAGCATGCTGGTTCTGCAAGTCTGGGCACCCTAGTTTGAATCTCCAGCACTCACATAAAAAGCCAAACATTTGTGTACAAGCTTGCAAACCCCAGCAAGCTCTAGGTTCAGTGAGGCACACTGTTTTGAAGTAGTAACCCGAAGAGAAATAAAACAAGACACCCAAAGTCCTACTCTGGCCTCCTTACCTGTACACACGGGCGTGTACACACAGATATTCCTAAGCATGCACCACACAGCATACTCTGCACACATGACTACTCCCCAAGAAAGAATATCAAAATACATGTATGTACTCAAACATGTACTATTACTAAAATTACTCACAAGCACATCTGAAATTAAAGTTTCCACCCCCCTCCCTTTCCTTTAGCTACTGTGTACAGAGCTGTATGCAGCTCATGAGTGTGTCCTGGGGCCTCCTTCACTTTGTACTTCATCTTATTCCTGGGACACTAATTCCCAGAGCTCTAGGGTCAGCAAGGTCAGAGGCTGCCCCAGGCTCAAAGCCAAGGAGATACACATCAGTCATAAAGACCATAGCTTCAACATCTGGAAGAGATGGCTTTAATAAGTAGAGTTCTAAAATAATGGATGTAGATACATACTAACATATGTGATCTATCAATAATACTCATATATTATATGCTTGGTAGAATTATTTAAAACCACTCTTCCTAAGTTTATCTATCTACCCTCTCCCTATTTGTTAGCTCACTTGGCTACATGATTCTGACAAACTAGATGGAATTTTAATGATTAATCTCCAACTCTCTACCAACCAATCTAGGAATGAAAGTGTATCCACAGAAACAGCAATTCTTAACGAATGAACCCAGTTTGTTTAACTCACTGATATCATGCCTTCCCACCAGGACCCCCACAGTCTTCAAGGACAATAGCTTCTTGTCACATCTAATTTTAACCAGTCACCATGATATAACTAAGAAACGTTAAAACAATCAGCAGGGCCTATGCAGGAGCCAGCCTAAATTCTTGACATTTTTCTCATTGTTTTCCTGCAAAAACACAGGCAGAGAAGGTAATAATCAAGGAAACAGTCAGCGAATCTTACCAGGCCACACATCCGTGTGTGTGTGCGTGCGTGTGTGTGTGTGTGTGTGTGTGTGTGTGTGTGTGTGTGCGTGTGTGTGCATGCGTGTGTGCGTGTGTGTGTGTGCGCATGCGTGTGTGCGTGTGCGTGTGCGTGTGTGTGTGTGTGTGTGTGTGTGTGTGTGTGTGTGTGTGTGTGTTGTAGCTCCTTCAAGAATTAAGATTTGGTCATCTTCCTGTTCTCCATTTTTCCTTTTATCTACACAAAGGTAGTGTCAGTTAAATGGCTACTATTAATGGCTAAGAGTTATAAAACACATCAATACCTGAAAGCTATATCCTGCCTGATCTGATGTGAACATGAAATTCTACAGATCTCATGAGTGGGCACAGAAGTGCTGGGGCCATTCTTGCATGGTTCACCAGGTAACAAACACTGGATAACCTTGGAATGAGTTGTCTTGGGAAGAGCTGGTTTGTAACTAGCCAGTGCTGAAACATTTAAACCAACATAGAGTTTTAACACTGAAAAAGGCAACTTAAGGTGATATTTCCTCTTGCAAGTTCTCGGTTTCCCCCTCCTCCATTAAGTGGAATGTAATGAGGCACTCCAGAGGGGACATGTAATTCAAATCACATTCCCTTCCTGGGTCAACCGAATTATCAGCCTCTTGCCCCAAAACAAATTTACCTCTTTAAGACTAGAGGACTTTATCACTCTTGGGAAAAATACAAACAATGATTAAGATGCCATTTGGACATGGCTGGAATTTTTCATGTTCAAGGGATCTCGGAGTGGAGTGGAGTGGAGTCGATGCATTCTCATTCAAGTAGAATACATATTGCAGGAAAGAACTGTGATCAATGGCACTGGTATGACCCTCAGGTTAGAGCAAAGGAATATTGGAAAATAAATCTCCATTGTGAATACTCACCAATCCTGCAATGGGGGTAGGCAATCTATTGACCTTTTTAACAAGTCCTGGCTTTATAGCATTCAGCAACCTGTCGTGAAAAAGGCAGAATGTCAGGTGAGACATAAAGCAAGATGGATCACACAAATCACCTGGAGCCAGGGCTATGGCTAAACTGCTGACTAGGAAAAGCTGTGGATTTCAAGCATGCCATAAATCCTGATCATCTACCAGCCTCCCTCTGTAAGTCAAGAGCTCTGCTAACACCAAGTCTGTGGACAGCAGGTGGAGTCACAGAGTTTGGAAAGTTAGGAGAGGAGAATGGAAAGAGACTGAGAAGTGTTTCATGGGAACAAAGATGCGAGGTGGGCTGAAACTAGGAGAGAACTGTCTAGAATCAGAGCCATGTACTGCAACCCAGGGCAGGTAAGGCATGTTGCCAATTCTCCTGGCTAAGGCAAGGACCTCTCCAGGGACAGACTAGGTTCAGAGACCAACATAGATCTTTGCAAATAATTTGCCAAAACAAATTCTGTCTCCAGCCCCTATTTGTGCTTTGAGGGGAGTGGCTTGTTAGATGTGGTTGAGCTTCATTTAAACATGGAAGAGTGTATTTTCTAAGGGGTTAACCACTCACATCCTGAAGATCTGAAACAAGGTTGACCACGATTCCCTAGGTACCAAAAAATTTACTTGAGCAAAAGATTTTTCAGGGCAAGCTTAAGCACATGTAAAAATGGAATTACCAGCAAGAGAACACAAGAGCAACTGAGCTGCGGTCTGTAGAAAATATAAACCGAGTGTGAAGAGCAGTAAGAATGGTAAGCAAGCTGTAAAATGAAAACATGGTTAGCATCAGGGAAACGGTAGAGTGCAGTATTTACAAAGTCGGATGCTCATTAAGGACTCGTGGGCAGTAAAGGACCGTAGAATGTAAGTGCTTATTTAAGAATTAGGCAGCTAGATGATTTACCTCAGAATACTACGTAGAGAAATTAGAAGTTGATTATAACTCAAGGATCAACAAGCTACAAACCCATGGGCCAGGGGTGTCAACACATGCTTTGCAAATGAAGTTTTACTGGCACACAGCTGCAACCAAGGCCATTTGTTATGAACAGTGTACAGCTCGTCTTGTCTCTAGCCACCGTGTTCAGCGGCAGAGGGAGAACATATGGTCTACAAAGTGTGTGATGTTCCCTCTGTGGCCCTTTACAGAAAAGGTTTGCTGACTTCCGCTCTTCTTCCTGCAATCCAAGATCACAGTAAACACTCCAGGCCCCACACTTGAGAGATTCTACAGGTCACACTAACAGAGACTCTTTCAAACACTCCACATAGATGGAGACAGCCTGAAGCAGCGGGACAGGACACTCTGATTTTTACCGAAGCTCAACACAAGCTCTCAAGATACTTCATTACAAATCCCACTCACTGCTCCAGCATGGAATGGTCAGAGTGGGCATGGGATACTTATTTCACTGAGGCCAAGGTGGCTACTCTTTTCTATGAACCAAGTTAGGTCAGCCATGCCTTTCATCTTTTTGAAGAAGTATTTCTATACAACCTATTCTGGGGTTGTTGGCATTTTGAGTTGGAGGTGACTTCCCACTTTATTGCACAGAAAATTGAGGTCTGGTATTGCTGAGTTACTTCCCCAGAGATGCTCAGAAGCCTCATTGGGCCCAATACCCACATGACCTAGGTCAGTATGTTCTCTTAGATAGTATTAGAACCCCATATCTTTTGGTTTAAAATACACAGATACAAGGTTTCCAAAGCAAAAAAAAAATTTAAAAAGGACAGAATTTTAAAAATTAATTTATTGTTTTAATTAATCTTTCATACAATATATTTTGATCTTGTTTTTCTGCTCTCCCAACTCCTCCCAGAATCTTTCCAATTCCCTACCCACCTAACATTATGCTCTCATTCTCTCTCTCTCAAAAAAAAAGCAAAAACCCCTACAGAAACAAACAAAAATCAAAACAAGCAAGCAAAAGATCAATAAAACAAAACAAAAAGTCCACAAAAGGGAGGGTGTGTGTATGTATGTGTGGTGTGTGTGTGTGTGTGTGTGTGTGTGTGTGTGTGTGTGTGTGTGTGTGTGTGTTGGCCAACTGCTCTTGGGTGTGACAACTTCCCTGGGCTGTGGTTGATATAAGTGGTGAAAACTGATTTTCTCTTAGCCAGCAGGTATCAATTGCAATTAGCTTCTCAGTGGGGGGACTCCATGGCCACTTCCTCTTGTTAGTACTGGGATCCTTTCTGACTTGGACCAATGCAGGTCTTGTGCATGTTGCCATGGTGTCTGTGAGTTCATATGTACACTGGTCCTGCTGTGTCTGGAAGACACTGTTTCCTTGGGGGCATTCATCATCCTAGCTCTTACTGTCTTTCCTCCTCCTCCTCTTCACAGACCCCTAAGCCTTTTGGAGGAAGGGCTTTGATGAAGACATCCCACTTAGGTTGGGTGGTCCCATGTCTCTTACTCTCCGTACAATCAAATGGGCAGAATTCTTAACATGCATTACTTTTTTTTAGTAGCTCTTCATAGTGTCATTTAAAATAGAATTATAAAATATCTGTGTACAGTATTCACAATTCAAAGGTGATTAAAAGGATACATGGCAAAATGTAGAACACTTGCTGTTGCTATGCTCCCATGGGGCCTCAGTCTATTCCCTGAAGGCAATGTGAAAAATTTTCAATGGAAAAAAAAATTTAAGTACACATATTTTTTTTAAAAGGCAGGTATACATAGCCTACACCATACCATATCATATCATGTCATACACTGTCCTGTGCCTTGTCTTAACAAAGTAGTCATCCTTCAGTATCCATAGGGGATTATTTCCAGGTCCCCTTTGAGTACCCAAATCTCTAGATTCTCTAGTTCTGTATATAAAATGTCATTTCTGCATTTTTCACATACTTTAAATGATCTCTACTTATACTAACACAATACAAATACCAGGCAATAGTTCTTATGCTGTATTATTCAGGAAATAATGACAAGAGAAGAGAGTTCATACACGTTCAATGGGGATATGACTTTTTCCCCTAAATATCTTTTATTGTGGTTGGCTGAATCCATGATGAATAGCCTACGCATACAGAGGAGTAACTGTGTGTCCTGGAGGTTGGACAATCTACTCTGGAGAGCGTGTCTTATCAATGCATATGGAGGATATGTCCTTCTTAATAAGCACAGAGGATACTGGAGAGCTGCTGGGGTGGGGGCTGGGGGAGCAATTCCTTCTGAGGACTGCCTGAATACAACACCCAGCTGGGTCCTTTTCTAGTGGTGTTACGGACGCATTTGTTAACCTGTTTTATCAGCTGTAACACATGTTCGAGTGTGGCTTTAAAGAGAGGAAACGAGAGAAACTAGCACAGAGCCCAGCCCATACACTCCATAAACACTTCCCCAGGTTTCTGTGGAAGTTTTTCAGCCATTGTAAACGGACTGACGGAGAGCATTTTAGACATACCATTTGTTTAAATCATTTTGGATGTTAAAAAAAAAAATCAAATGAAATAGCATTGCCACTAGGTTTTAAGCCATATTGCTAAGCAATGAAAGCAGAAAAAACACCTCTCCTCCGTAATGCACTGGCTAAAAATTCTTCTCAAAAGGCATCCTTTGTCTTCTGTTTCCAAGGGACTCATTGGTATTTGTAGTAATGATGGCTCTAACTCACTCATCTTTTATAAACTCATTACTTTAATCCTTCATGGAGTATTCTGATGATAGGCATTTCACTAGCCCATGAAGACATCCAAAAGGTAAAGAAATAAAGCAAACTATAATGCTGCACTTTAATGAAAAGAATGACGGAACACTACAACATCTCTCAAAACCTTTCACTAAAATCCAAATAAAATAAAATAATAAAAATAGCAGGCCATATTGCTCTCTCGTGCATGTGGGATATTTCCAAGACTGTGCAGCTGTGTTTTTCCATGTAAACAGTCTTCAGTTCTGCACAGAATTTACAGTATACAACAATAAAAGATAACATCAAATTCACATTGTAGAGATGCCCAGCACCTGGATTTGATCTTGTATTTTGCCTTAAACTGAGGAAAAGTTTCTGTGTATTAGGAAAACAATGAGACATGTAACAGTAGCTATGAGGAAGAATATTCATCTATAATTTTTTTTTTTTTTTTTTTGGTTTTTCGAGACACGGTTTCTCTGTGGAGCTTTGCGCCTTTTCTGGAACTCACTTGGTAGCCCAGGCTGGCCTCGAACTCACAGAGATCCGCCTGGCTCTGCCTCCCGAGTGCTGGGATTAAAGGCGTGTGCCACCACCACCCGGCAATTCATCTATAATTTTACTTAAAGCCACAAGTGCCCCACCACCACCACATAAGTTTATGAACAACACGCTGTTAAATGATGAGCATGGTGATATTTTATATTTATGTCCCTTTTGAGGTACATTATTACTCAAAAGCCTTGTCCCAAGATAGAGGTTACATGTGTATTCCACCATGCCCATAAAGGAAAAAACTAAGTCCCAATCACGTGTGAAGACATCCCAAGAGACACAGCTGGTAATTTGGCCAGGACATTTGGGATGGTTATTTATGCTACAGTTTGCTCCTTTAGAAAGATCAGCTTTTGAGCTGGAGAGATGGCTCAGTGGTTAAGAGCACTAACTGCTCTTCCAGAGGACATGAGCTCAATTCTCAGCATCCACAGGGCAGTTCATGACTATTTGTAATGCCAGGTCCAGAGGATCTGGCACCCTCACACAGACATACATGCAGGCAAAACTCCAGTGCACATAAAATAAAAATAAATTAATTAAAAAAGAATGCTTTCCAAAGAGAGTTAGGGAAGGGGAGGGGAGGGGAGGGGAGGAGAGGAGAGGGAGGGAGGGAGGGAAGGAGGGAGGGAGGGAGGGAGGGAGACCAGCTTCAAAGCACAACAAAGAACAATGTCAAAATATCATGGGGTAAAGGCCAGTCACAGTGGCACATGGCTTTAATCCCAGCATTGGAATTAAGTGTGTGTGTGTGTGTGTGTGTGTGCGTGTGTGTGTGTGTGTGTGTGTGTGTATACATATATCTGTAAGAGTG